GGATTTAAAAAAAAAATAATCTTTTTTCACTGTTATAGATTGAATAGCAGTCAGTGTCCTTAAAGCGGGTGTGTTACGGTAACAGTGGATACGGTGACCAGTGCCACCACTTAGATCTGGTGTCACAATAGCTTGGATTTAAAAAAAAAAAACTTTTTCACTGTTATAGATTGAATAGCAGTCAGTGTCCTTAAAGCGGGTGTGTTACGCTAACAGTGGATACGGTGCCCAGTGCCACTACTCACTGGTGTCATAATAGCTTGCATTTAAAAACAAAAAACTTTTTTCACTGTTATAGATTGAATACCAGTCAGTGTCCTTAAAGCGGGTGTGTTACGCTAACAGTGGATACGGTGCCCAGTGCCACCACTCACTGGTGTCATAATAGCTTGCATTTAAAAACAAAAAACTTTTTTCACTGTTATAGATTGAATAGAAGTCAGTGTCCTTAAAGCGGGTGTGTTAAGCTCACAGTGGATACGGTGCCCAGTGCCACCACTCATATCTGGTGTCACAATAGCTTGCATTTAAAAACAAAAAACTTTTTTAACTGTTATAGATTGAATAGCAGTCAGTGTCCTTAAAGCGGGTGTGTTACGACAACAGTGGATACGGTGCCCAGTGCCACCACTCATATCTGGTGTCACAATAGCTTGCATTTAAAAACAAAAAACTTTTTTCACTATTATAGATTGAATGGCAGTCAGTGTCCTTAAAGTGGGTTTGTTACACTAACAGTGGATACAGTGCCCAGTGCCACCACTCACTGGTGTCATCATAGCTTGCATTTAAAAACAAAAAACTTTTTTCACTGTTATAGATTGAATAGCAGTCAGTGTCCTTAAAGCGGGTGTGTTACGCTAACAGTGGATACGGTGCCCAGTGCCACCACTCACTGGTGTCACAATAGCTTGCATTTGAAAACAAAAAACTTTTTTCACTGTTATAGATTGAATAGCAGTCAGTGTCCTTAAAGCGGGTGTGTTACGCTAACAGTGGATACGGTGCCCAGTGCCACTCACTCACTGTGTCAAGGCAATAGCTTGTAATTTAAAAACAAAGTTCTTTTCACCTGTTATAGATTGAATAGCAGTTTCAGTGTCCTTAAAGGGTGTGTTACGCTTAACAGTGGATACGTAGCCCAGTGCCACCACTCACTGGTGTCACAATAGCTTGCATTTAAAAAAAAACTTTTTTCACTGTTATATATTGAATAGTAGTTGTCTGCCACTGCTGCCAGCTTCTGTGTCAGGCCTACAATGGATACTGTGCCCATTTCTCAGTCAGTGCCACCACTTAGATCTGGTGTCACAATAGCTTGGATTTAAAAACAAAAAACTTTTTTCACTGTTATAGATTGAATAGCAGTCAGTGTCCTTAAAGCGGGTGTGTTACGCTAACAGTGGATACGGTGCCCAGTGCCACCACTTATATCTGGTGTCACAATAGCTTGGATTTAAAAACAAAAAACTTTTTTCACTGTTATAGATTGAATACCAGTCAGTGTCCTTAAAGCGGGTGTGTTACGCTAACAGTGGATACGGTGCCCAGTGCCACCACTCACTGGTGTCATAATAGCTTAAATTTAAAAAAAAAAAACTTTTTTCACTGTTATTGATTGAATAGCAGTCAGTGTCTTTAAAGCGGGTGTGTTACGCTAACAGTGGATACGGTGCCCAGTGCCACCACTCATATCTGGTGTCACAATAGCTTGCATTTAAAAACAAAAAACTTTTTTAACTGTTATAGATTGAATAGCAGTCAGTGTCCTTAAAGTGGGTGTGTTACGACAACAGTGGATACGGTGCCCAGTGCCACCATTCATATCTGGTGTCACAATAGCTTGCATTTAAAAACAAAAAACTTTTTTCAATATTATAGATTGAATAGCAGTCCGTGTCCTTATAGTGGGTTTGTTACGCTAACAGTGGATACGGTGCCCAGTGCCACCACTCATATCTGGTGTCACAATAGCCTGCATTTAAAAACAAAAAACTTTTTTCACTGTTATAGATTGAATAGCAGTCAGTGTCCTTAAAGCGGGTGTGTTACGCTAACAGTGGATACGGTGACCAGTGCCACCACTCACTGGTGTCATAATAGCTTGGATTTAAAAACAAAAAACTTTTTTCACTGTTATAGATTGAATAGCAGTCAGTGTCCTTAAAGCGGGTGTGTAAGGCTCACAGTGGATACAGTGCCCAGTGCCACCACTCACTCACTGGTGTCACAATAGCTTGCATTTAAAAACCAAAAACGTTTTTTCACTGTTATAGATTGAATAGCAGTCAGTGTCCTTAAAGCGGGTGTGTTACGCTAACAGTGGATACGGTGCCCAGTGCCACCACTCATATCTGGTGTCACAATAGCTTGCATTTAAAAACAAAAAACTTTTTTCACTATTATAGATTGAATGGCAGTCAGTGTCCTTAAAGTGGGTTTGTTACACTAACAGTGGATACAGTGCCCAGTGCCACCACTCACTGGTGTCATCATAGCTTGCATTTAAAAACAAAAAACTTTTTTCACTGTTATAGATTGAATAGCAGTCAGTGTCCTTAAAGCGGGTGTGTTACGCTAACAGTGGATACGGTGCCCAGTGCCACCACTCACTGGTGTCACAATAGCTTGCATTTTAAAAAAAAAACTTTTTTCACTGTTATAGATTGAATAGCAGTCAGTTGTCTGCCACTGCTGCCAGCTTCTGTGTCAGGCTCACAGTGGATACTGTGCCCATTTCCCAGTCAGTGCCACCACTTATATCTGGTGTCACAATAGCTTGCATTTAAAAACAAAAAACTTTTTTCACTGTTATAGATTGAATAGCAGTCAGTGTCCTTAAAGCGGGTGTGTTACGCTAACAGTGGATACGGTGCCCAGTGCCACCCCTCACTGGTGTCATAATAGCTTGGATTTAAAAACAAAAAACTTTTTTCACTGTTATAGATTGAATAGCAGTCAGTGTCCTTAAAGCGGGTGTGTTACGCTAACAGTGGATACGGTGCCCAGTGCCACCACTCACTGGTGTCACAATGGCTTGCATTTAAAAAAAAAAACTTTTTTCACTGTTATAGATTGAATAGCAGTCAGTGTCCTTAAAGCGGGTGTGTTACGCTAACAGTGGATACGGTGCCCAGTGCCACCACTCACTGGTGTCATCATAGCTTGCACTTAAAAACAAAAAACTTTTTTCACTGTTATAGATTGAATAGCAGTCAGTGTCCTTAAAGCGGGTATGTTACGTTAACAGTGGATATGGTCGGTGCCCAGTGCCACCACTCACTGGTGTCACAATAGCTTGCATTTAAAAAAAAAACTTTTTTCACTGTTATAGATTGAATAGCAGTCAGTTGTCTGCCACTGCTGCCAGCTTCTGTGTCAGGCTCACAGTGGATACTGTGCCCATTTCCCCAGTCAGTGCCACCACTTGTCACAATTGTCACAATAGCGCATTTAAAACTTTTTTCACTGTTATAGATTGAATAGCAGTCAGTGTGTCGCCAAAGCAGGTGTGTGTTACGCTAACAGTGGATACGGTGCCCAGTGCCACCATTAACTGGTGTCACAATAGCTTGCATTTAAAAACAAAAAACTTTTTTCACTGTTATAGATTGTATAGCAGTCAGTGTCCTTAAAGCGGGTGTCAGGCCTCCTTCAGCGTGTGCTCTGCAGACCTCTGCCTGTGTACTTTGCCACTCATATCTGGTGTCTCTGTAGCGTGCTTTTACAAAGAAAAAAGGTTTCCAGTGTAAGCTAATAGCAGCCAGTCAGTGTCCTTCAAGCGGCTGTGTCACGCCTACAGCCTGTGCTCTGCACAACTGTGCCAGTGCACATTGCCACTCATATATGGTCTCACAGTAGCTTGCACGCATAGTACCACTAATCCCAAAAAAAATGACAGGCAGAGGCAGGCCACCCCGCAGGGGCCATCGTGGTCGTGGTGCTGTGATTCCCTTTGGCCCTAGAATAATGCCCAGTTTTCAGAGGCTACGTACCCTGAACTTGAAAAGTTCTGAGGACATAGTTGACTGGCTAACACAGGACACCCAATCTTCTACAGCCTCCACTCAGAACCTTGATGCACCATCCTCCTCCAGCTTAGCTTCAGGCACCTCTCAAGATACCACTCACCCGCCTGCCGCCACCACCAAAACTAGCACCACAGCCGCTTCGGTCGGTATGTCAGAGGAGTTATTCACACATCCGCTTGAAGAAATGAGTGATGCGCAACCATTATTGCCAGAGGATGTAGATAACAGGGATATGTCTCAGGCAGGCAGCATTACACACATGGACGTACGGTGTGATGATGATGATGATGTTGTACCCGCTGCTGCTTCCTTTGCTGAGTTGTCAGATACAAGTGAAGCGGTTGATGATGACGATGCGTCCATGGATGTCACGCGGGTGCCCGCTCGTCAAGAAGAAGAACAGGGCGAAAGTTCAGATGGGGAGACAGGGAGGAGGAGGAGACGAGTTGGAAGCAGGGGGAGGTCGTCGCAAGGAGCTAGTGGCACAGTCAGACAGCATGCATCGGCACCCGGGGTCAGCCCGACAGCACGCTAATCAACGCATGCTGTGTCCACCACCAGAATGCCGTCATTGCAGAGCTCAGCAGTGTGGAATTTTTTTTGTGTGTCTACCTCTGACAACAGCGATGCCATTTGCAACCTGTGCCAAAAGAAACTGAGTCGTGGGAAGTCCAACACCCACCTAGGTACAACTGCTTTGCGTAGGCACATGATCTCACATCACAAACGCCTATGGGATCAACACATGAGTACAAGCAGCACGCCTACTCTAAGCCGCCATCCTCCTCCTGGTCCAGCATCTTGAGCCACGTCAACCACTGCTGTCCTCCTTGTCCCCTCTCAACCATCCGCCACTCCGTCTCCCGCCTTGAGCAGTTCCCGTTCATCTTCCCACAGTCATGTGTCTGTCAAGGACATGTTTGAGCGTAAGAACACAATGTCAGAAAGTCACCCCCTTGCCAAGCGTCTGACAGCTGGCTTGTCCGAACTATTAGCCCGCCAGCTTTTACCATACAAGCTGGTGGAGTCTGAGGCGTTCAAAAAATTTGTAGCTATTGGGACACCGCAGTGGAAGGTACCCGGCAGAAATTTCTTTTCACAAAAGGCAATCCCCAACCTGTACTCAATTGTGCAAAAGGAAGTAATAGCATCTCTGGCACACAGTGTTGGGGCAAGGGTCCATTTGACCACTGATACCTGGTCTGCAAAGCATGGTCAGGGCAGGTATATCACCTACACCGCGCATTGGGTAAACCTGCTGACTGCTGCCAAGCATGGAATGCATGGCTCTGCAGAGGAGTTGGTGACACCGCCACGACTTGCAGGCAGTCCTGCTGACACCTCCTCTACTCCTCCTACTCCATCCTCTTCCATAACCTCCTCGGCTGAGTCCTCTTCTGCTGCTGCATCTTGCTCCACATCAACGGCACCCCCCCAGCTCCCCAGGTACTATTGCACATCCCGGATACGGCAGTGTCATGCCGTCTTGGGTTTGACTTGCTTGACACCGCACAAGCACTCCTGTCCTCCCTGAACGCACAGGTGGAAAAGTGGCTGACTGCGCAGCAACTGGAGATCGGCAAAGTGGTTTGTGACAACGGAACAAATTTGTTGGCGGCATTGAAGTTGGGCAAGTTGACACATGTGCCGTGCATGGCACATGTGTGTAATCTGATCGTACAACGCTTTTTGCATAAGTACACAGGCTTACAGGACGTCCTGAAGCAGGCCAGGAAGGTGTGTGGCCATTTCAGGCGTTCCTACACGGCCATGGCTCACTTTGCCGATATCCAGCGGCGAAACAACATGCCAGTGAGGCGCTTGATTTGCGACAGCCCGACACGTTGGTATTCAACACTCCTAATGTTCGACCGCCTGCTCCAACAAGAAAAAAGCCAATAATGAATATTTGTATGACCGGGGTGCTAGGACAGCCTCTGGGGAGCTGGGAATTTTTTTGCCACGTTACTGACGCTCATGCGCAATGCCTGTAGGCTCATGCGTCCTTTTGAGGAGGTGACAAATTTAGTCAGTCGCACCGAAGGCACCATCAGCGACATCATACCATTTGTTTTTTTCCTGGAGTGTGCCCTGCGAAGAGTGCTGGATCAAGCCGTAGATGAGCGTGAAGAGGAAGAGTTGTGGTCACCATCACCTCCAGAAACAGCCTGATCAGCATCGCTTGCTGGACCTGCGGCAACGCTGGAAGAGGATTGTGAGGAAGAGGAGTCAGAGGAGGAATGTGGCTTTCAGGAGGAGGAAGAGGAGGAGCAAGACCAACCACAACAGGCATCCCAGAATGCTCGTTGTCACCTATCTGGTACCTGTGGTGTTGTACGTGGCTGGGGGGAAGGACATACCTTCATTGACATCAGTGAGGAGGAGGAACGGGAAATGAGTAGCTCGGCATCCAACCATGTACTAGACCCCCGTTATAAGCAGAAAGTGGCGGAAAGGTTACTGAATTACAACAAGTATGAAAGGATGCAGCATTTGCAAAATAAATTGAAAAGTATGCTTTACACAGCGTATAAGGGTGATGTCACAGCACAACGGGAATCTAACAGGGGGAGAGGTGGAAGCCATCCTCCTCCTCCCATGACCACGCCGGCAAGGACAGGACGCTTTACAGACGTGTTGTTGATGGAGGACATGCAGAGCTTTTTAAGTCCTACGAATCGCCACAGCCCTTCGGGATCCACCCTCAGAGAACGACTCGACCGACAGGTAGCAGACTACCTCGCCTTAACTGCAGATATCGACACTCTGAGGAGCGATGAACCCTTGACTACTGGGTATGCAGGCTTGACCTGTGGCCTGAGCTATCCCAATTTGCGATAGAACTTCTGGCCTGCCCCGCTTCAAGTGTCCTGTCAGAAAGGACCTTCAGTGCAGCAGGAGGTATTGTCACTGAGAAGAGAAGTCGCCTAGGTCAAAAAGTCTAGATTACCTCACCTTTATTAAGATGAATGAGGGATGGATCCCGAAGGGACTGACACTGGGCGATACATTAGATTAAAAAAGGCCTGATGAGATGAGCTGCCTTGGGCTAAAATGGTCCACACGCTGCTGTATTTTAGCTCTGAATGCCTGTTGACTTGCGTGACTTGATCCGCCACCAACTAGGTTTCAAGCCGCCATGTTTTAGGGCACTTTCTGCCTGTGAAACAAACATCAATTATAGATTGAATAGCAGTTAGTTGTCTCAAAGCGGGTGTGTCAGGCTCACAGTGGATACTGTGCCCAGTGCCACCATTCACTCACTGGTGTAACAATAGCTTGCATTTAAAAACAAAATACCTTTTTCACTGTTATAGATTGAATAGCAGTTAGTTATCTTCAAGCGGGTGTGTCAGGCTCACAGTGGATACTGTGCCCAGTGCCACCACTCACTCACTGGTACCCGGACAAAATTTATTTTCACAAAAGGCAATCCCCAACCTGTACTCGATTGTGCAAAAGGAAATAATGGCATGTCTGGCACACAGTGTTGGGGCAAGGGTCCATCTGACCACTGATACCTGGTCTGTAAAGCATGGTCAGTGCAGGTATATTACCTACACTGCGCATTGGGCAAACCTGCTGACGGCTGCCAAACATGGAATGCGTGGCTCTGCAGAGGAGTTGGTGACACCGCCACGACTTGCAGGCAGGCCTGCTGCCACCTCCTCTACTCCTCCTACTCCATCCTCTTCCATAACCTCCTCAGCTGAGTCCTCTTCTGCTGCTGCGTCTTGCTCCACATCAACGGATAGGGGACGTAACAGTGATTAAACTGATAAAAATAGTACTAAACACACCACTCCTATCTGGTGGCACATTAGATTATACGCGCAGTGCCCCAAATTTGTTGTGATCTGTGAGTAAGGTAAACGGTTGTCCATAAAAGTAAGGTTGCAGCTTTTTGAGGGCCCACACCACCGCCATGCACTCCTTTTCAATGGCAGTGTATCTACTTCCCTGGGCAAAAGTTTACGGCTTAGATAAGCCCCGGGTTGCTCGCCACCATCTGCTCCGACTTGGCTCAGTACTGCTCCCAATCCAAACATAGAAGCGTCTGTATGGACGAGAAAGTGTTTAGTTGGATCAGGAGCAGAAAGTACAGGTGATTTAATGAGCGCCGTCTTGAGCTGTTGGAAGGCCTGTTCACACTCTGGGGCCCATACTACTATCTTGGGGAGGTTTTTACGCGTTCCTATATGGCACTTACTGGGCTTTAGGGTCAGTCCGGACTCCCTAATCCGGTCTAGTACGGCTCCTATGTGGGTCAGGTGTTCGGGCCAGGAGCAGCTAAAAATGGCTATACCATCCAAGTAGGCGCAGGCATACTCCTGAAACCCATCCAGTAGGCGATCTACCATCCTCTGAAAGTTAGCCGGGGCATTCTTCATCCCGAATGGCATGACCTTAAACTGATACAGGCCAAACAAGGTGACAAATGCTGACTTGTGGATGGCGTCCTCGGCTAATGGAATTTGCCAGTACCCCTTGCACAGATCTATTGTGGTGAGGTACTGGCCTCTGGCCATTTTGTCTAGGAGCTCGTCTATCCGGGGCATAGGATAGGCGTCTGAGGTTGTTCACATGGAGCATGCGCTTGCCTCCCGTGCCTGTGACCGCACCGATCACAAAGGTGGTATCACAAACCTGCTCTACCACCTTGTATGGGCCCTGCCAGGAAGTCTGCAGCTTGTCCTTGTGGACAGTGTCAATCCATATCTGCCAAGTGACCCTGATGTAGGAGGAACAGTCCCTATTCTGCTCTGTGTCAGTGTGTATCAGGGATCCTTAGGACAGGTGTCAATCCATATCTGCCAAGTGACCCTATGTAGGGGAACAGTCTCTATTCTGCTCTGTGTCAGTGTGTATCATGGTCTCTGAGGACAGGTGTCAATCCATATCTGCCAAGTGACCCTATGTAGGGGAACAGTCCCTATTCTGCTCTGTGTCAGTGTGTATCAGGGGCTCTGAGGACAGGTGTCAATCCATATCTGCCAAGTGACCCTATGTAGGAGGAACAGTCCCTATTCTGCTCTGTGTCCGTGTGCATCAGGGGCTCTGAGGACAGGTGTCAATCCATATGTCAAGGTGTCAATATGTCATATGTCAGGTGTCAATCCATATTCATTGTGACTTAGGAATGTTAGGTGATTTCTGCCCTTTATGGATTAAAACCAGAATCTGCATCAACTGTGTAATTTTCCATGGGAGTTTTGCCATGGATCCCCCTCCGGCATGCCACAGTCCAGGTGTTAGTCCCCTTGAAACAACTTTTCCATCCCTATTGTGGCCAGAAAGAGTCCCTGTGTGTTTTAAAATTCGCCTGCCCATTGAAGTCTATGGCGGTTCGCCCGGTTCGCCGGTTCGCGAACATTTGCGGAAGTTCGCGTTCGCCGTTCGCGAACCGAAAATTTCGTGTTCGTGACATCACTATTAGTGACATGTGACGTGAGTTCCTTATATAGTATTATACCCCATCATTTGGGAGTAGAGGCAGCAAAATACTTTTTGGAAAAATCAGGTTTTAAAGACACACAAGTAGATTTTATTGTGGAAGGCATTTTATTAATCTTAACAAATAATTATTTTTGGTTTAAGGACTCTTTTTTTATGCCAACCATGGGTACGTTGATGGACACTAAGTTCGCACCTAGTTATACAAATTTATTTATGGCGTATTGGGAGGAAAAAAATCATACTACCCAGTACGTATGTTGCGAACTTGGTGTCCTTTCATTGTTACATTGATGATGTATTTTTTTATATGGATTATAAGAAAGTATACAGGGGATGTAGAAATATGAAACAAATGTTGGTAAAAAGCAGTTTTAAGACAAAACTAACAGATCATTTTTTAAATAGAAATAAAGGTTTTTATGGTTGTGGATCCTGTTTAGCTTCCAGAGAAACGAATCAGAAAAAAAAAAACACATCACCTCTTTTTATTACCAAAAGGATAAAGAATTTAATATTAAGAATCAGTTAACATGCTTCTCTAAAAATGTAATTTATATCCTAAAATGCTCCTGCGAGGTGCTGTTACACTATATGTAATTGAATATAAGCACCCATTAAGACACACTGTCACTTTAAATAACAGTTGTCACCTCACTCTGAATTCAGTTTTTTTTTTTTATTGTAATTATTTTTTATTACATTTTTAAAACATTGTATACAAAAAAGATGGCCTCAGAAGAGCCCACCACTTACAATACATACAGAATCAAATAAGTACATTACAAGTTTTCACATAACTATTGACATTCGTTATTAAACCTTGTCAACTCATCCAGGAATTAAACAAGAGTTTTTTCTTTT